CTTTTCAAAGCAACTGACATTTCTTTCCAAGTATTTGTTTGTATTTTTTTTTTTTTTTCTTCCAATTCTTAACAAAGCAGAAAAACATTGAGAGACAGAGACAGAGAGAGTGAAAGAGTGAGAGAGAGAGAGGGTGAAACTGAAACGGAGAAAGGGTAGAAGAGAAACAAGAAGAAGAAGAAGAAGAAGTAGAAGAAGAAGAAGAAGAAGAAGAAAACAAAAAACAGCCTAAATACATCCCCATTTTTATTTGTTTGTTTGTTTGTTTGTTTGTTTTTTTTCTATTTCTTTCCATTACTGCAATTTCCTTTAAGCGGTTGGCATGTTATCCAATGTTTACGTCGAATGATCATCATAGTTTTCTGTATTTACCATCTATGAGAGAAAAAATAAATAAAAAATAGATAAAAATAGATCAAAAAAAAAAAATAAAAAAATAAAAAAATAAAAAAGACACAAGGATGTTAACGAAACTATTCTTTTCGTTTAGTCAACTATCAACTTTTCTCTCTCTCTCTCTCTCTCTCTCTTTCTCTCTCTCACTTTTTCTATCATTTTTTGGACCGAGGCCAACTTTATATTCACCGACTTCTTTTTTTTTCACGAAACGAAACGAAAGAAAGAAAGAAAGAAAAAAAACAAACCCCAAACTAGGCTCACGTTGAAATCGCGTTTGAACTTTTTTTTTTTCCTTTTTTTTTTTTTTTTGTTATTCCCTTTGACGATTATATACGTTCGACGAAATATATTACATATATATATATATATATATATATAATTGAAATGATAAAATTATATTTATATTATGTTATTATCAACTTTCTATAATATTAAAGCGAGTTAAGGTTACATTAACCCTTGTTAAAGTTATTATTAAATATATCAACCACCCTTAATGTCACTCTCACCACCCCCGAGAGTTACTTTTGTTTCTTACTTTTAAAAGTTAAAGTTGGTGAGAAGGAATTCAATTGATGTCAAATGATTATAAAATTAAATATATACAAGAAAATAAATTATTAACAAATATATATTTATATAACAATAATAATAATTATTATTATAATAACAGTGTTTATTATTATTCATCATAATAATAATATTAATTTATAAAAAAAAAATACATTGACTTGTATGAACCAACAAACAAACAAAAAATTATGGAGGGTAGAGGTTAAGAGTAACATCTCTTATGGGAGTAAAATGTGAAAAAGTGTCCAACGTTTTCTATAAATTAATAGTTCAATAATCTTCCAGAATGGCGCTGGTGAACGTAGAAGGTATGGTGTGAATATAGCAATTGCAAACGAATTGAAGTATGCCGAGTTATGTTATAATGTAGTAAATATAACCTTAAAGAATTATTATGAAAAAACGTGTAACTAAAGTGATTTTATTTCGTCAACTGTGAATAGTAATGTTTATTAATTGTTTATCATTTAATTTGATGAACAAGTCAGTGAATAACAAAACAGTTATAGAGTTAAATGTTGTGTTTGTGAAAATTTGTGTTCCTTGTTTATTTCTCAATCGTACTCTAATAATATTTGGCGCTTCCTTTAAAATTGACCCTGTAGCTACTGTAGCGCCACCCTAATTGAATGCATTTCAAAGGACACTTTTCATTATACAGAAATGTTACTTCTTACCTCTACCCTTAATACAAAAATTAAATTCATATGATTAGAAAATAAAAGAATAATAAATTATAAACTACCATATTTATGATTATAATGATTATAATTTGCCGTATATTATACAGAGTGACCAATAAAATTATAAACATTCACTTTGTATATCGGCTGATATCTAAATGAAGATATATTTTCTACAACTACGATATACTGGGTTGTTTTGATAGTAATTTCATTTTTTCCTGACACAATAAATACATGAATTAATGCAAAATGGCAAATAACAACACGTGACATCGGTGAGAAATTAAATTCATCAAATTCAACTGTTTATACTTACTCAAAAGGCCTAGATTTTAACATCGAAACAAAAATTGTTTTCATTTTTACAAATGAAAAATGAAATAACTTTTCAAACAACCAAATACTTCTCTAAATATTGTCTACAAAATTTTTGAAAATAATAAAATAAACATATGATTTATATTATCGAAATTAGTCTTTTACAGATCGTTGTATCGATCAATATCACGAAGGAGTAAAATACAGTGACGAAGGTCAACGAAAAGATTGAAAAGGGCACGCACCTGTCTCGTCCCTTTCTTACCCAAGAAAAGGTAAGGGTATCTAACGTTCAATGTTCAATCGGTTCACGCACGTGTTTTACCTAACAAACGGTACTTAACCCTTTCAATATGACGAAAAATCAGTCCGAGTGTCTTCCATTACAAAAATCAGTTCATTTCTCCTCCGAACGATTATTAAATAAAATAACTTTTATGCCTAAAACATTGAAGAACTTTGAGACCCATAAATGTCCCTATAACAGTGCACCTTCATCAACAACAGTGATTTCACAATTGAATTTTCAATTGATTGACACAATTTTTCCGATTGGGACAACATATGTTGTCCCAGCTGATGCGAAAGGGTTAAATATAACTGATACGAAATCAAGATGATTTTTCTGTTATTTTTATTTTTGGTTTTTTGTTTTTTTTGAACACTGAATTCGTTTGAATTATAATCAACTTTGTGTTGTATTGTGTTGTGTTGTGTTATGTTTGAAATAAATCAAATTATTATAATTGTTAATGATTTTTGAATTAAATATAACTGATACGAAATAAAGATGATTTTTCTGTTATTTTTATTTTTGGTTTTTGGTTTTTGGTTTTTGGTTTTTTTTTGAACATTGAATTCGTTTGAATTGTAATCAACTTTGTGTTGTGTTGTATTGTATTGTATTGTGTTGTGTTGTGTTTGAAATAAATCAAATTATTATAATTGTTAATGATTTTTCAATTTGTACGAATTATAATAAACTTTATGTGAGTGTGTGTGTGATTAAGAAATAAAATTATTATAAAAAAAAAAATAAAAAGAGTTAATCAATTAATTAATCATTGGAAATCAATCAATGATTTATAAGTGATAATGATTTTGTTCTAACACACACACACAAAACACAATAACTTTGTTAACAAATTTTTTAATAATTACATTTATTATACTAATCCCTTTACTTTTCAATTTTTTTCTTTTTTTATTAAATTAATATTTTATTTAACTTTCAATTATAATTGTGTGTGTGTGTGTGTGTTTGTGAAAGGCTAAAGAATTAAAAGGAAAATTGCAAAGCCAACATTTAATGATAATCGAATTTTTCATTTAAATTAATATTTAATTAAACAAATATAATATAAAAAAAAAAAATGACAGACAAATTAGAGAGAGATGTGTTTGAATTATTTCTGATTGAAAAAATAAAATAATAAATATAAAATATAAATAAACCAGTAGCAAATCCTCTGAACGAATTGAAACACAATACTAAAATGGTCTGATAATAAAAAAAAAAGAAAAAAGTGTATTTAATAGATCTACGTAAAATTAACTTTTTTAAAACTGACACATGAGATGACACACATACACATACACATAAACACACAAATATATACACGCACACACATGGGCAGGATAGTAGAACAGTAGTAACAGCAGAAATTCGCACTACGTAAAGTCGATCGAGTGTCCCATAGTGAGTTCATTTTGTAAACGAGAATTTATTGTTAGATACCAACATTGATATTTTGATATTATTTTACATTCTTTCTATCTCTCTCTTTCTATTATTTACTTTATATACATGATATCAATCAAATGTTATACAAAAATTTTAACATAACTCCCCCAAAGTATCAATGTGTTGAACACGATCGATCATTTTAGTCATTCGTAGAATAAGTCAGAGAATAAACATTGTATAATATTTCTTTCACAAAATTCAAAGAAGTATAAAAAGAAACAGGAAGAAGATAGATATAGAATTATATACATTGTAATAATAAATAAATAATATTATTATTTCAAAACGAGACGTGGTACCATGATAGGAACACTTGATCGATCATTCTAGTCATTCGTAGAAAATAAGAGAATAAACTTTGTATAGTTTTGGTTTTTTTTTTTTTACAAAATTGAAATAATTATAAAAAAAAAGAGAGATCGATATAGGGTTATACACATTATAACAATAAATAAATAAATAAAAAATATATTATAATTTCAAAACGAGACGTGGTACCATGATAGGAACACTTGATAGATCATTTGCATTATTTGTCGAAAGTAAATAATAGAATAAACTGTGTATAAATTTTTTTTTACAAAATTCAAATAAATATTTTAAAAAAAGAGAGATAAATATATTATAATAATAAATAAAAACAAAATATATTATTATATCAAAACGAGACGTGGTACCATGATAAGAACACTTGATAGATCATTTGCATTATTTGCCGAAAGTAAATAATAGAATACACTTTGTTTAATTTTTTTTTTACAAAACTCAAATAAATATAAAAAAAAAGGGAGATAGATAAATAGAATTATATAAATTATAAAAATAAATATAATAAATAAAAAAAAAATATATTATTATTTCAAAACGAGACGTGGTACCATGATAAGAAAACTTCATCGATCATTTTCTAATCATTCGTAAAAAGTAAGAGAATAAACTTTGTATAGTTTTGTTTTTTTTTTTTTTTTACAAAATTGAAATAAACATAAAAGAAAAGAGAGATAAATATATTATAATAATAAATAAAAACAAAATATTATTATTATTTCAAAACGAGACGTGGTACTATAATAGGAACACTTGATAGATCATTTGTGTCATTTGTTGAAAGTAAATAATAGAATACACTTTGTATAATTTCTTTTGTTTTTTTTTAAATAATATTTCAATAAATATAAAAAGAGAGAGAGAGAGAGAGATAGATAGATATACAATTAAATACACTATAACAATAAATAAAAAACAAATCTTATTAGTCCTAAAACAAGACGTCGTACCGTGATAAGAAGATTATTCCTTGGAATCGTTGATAAAAGTGTTGCGAAACGACGAAGCAACCCGTAGGATAAAGATAATAGAAAAAGGAATTAGAAAAAGAAAGGAAAGTTAAAGGGATAAGGAAAGGAAAGGAAAGAAAAGGAAAGGAAAGAAAAGAAAAAAAAAAATAAGTCAGTGATTTTGATCCTGTTTTGGTTGCTTCTTATCTGGCGTTTGTGTCGTCTAGTTGAAGGGTGGTTCCGTCCATCGCGTTTTCTCTTCTCTCTGGATCTCTATCGTGGTGAGGATCGATCGTTGTCGGGTGCACACGCGCTGACCGGTTGCGGGTACGCGTTCACACGTACACGACTACAACTACGACGACTATGATGACGACGATGACGAACAAGTGTATTAACAAGGAGTTAAGTAGAACTTGATGAGAAATTCAACAAAAAAAAAAAAATTCCCAAAAAAAAAAATCCCCCCAAAAAAAAACAGGAAAATTCAAATATAACACACTTATAGTAGTCTTCTTCTTAAATCATCAGTGTCTGTGTGTCTGTGTGTGTGCATCTGTATATGTGTTCACTCAATGATGATACGTCTCTCTTTTATAAATTCCAATTAAGAAAAAATTTTTTTTCTTTTTTTTAAAGGTTGAGTAAGGGGTAGTTTCTTTCAACACGATTTGTGGTTGACAAAGGTGAGATATGAACGGGGGGTTGGTTATGGGGGATAAGAAGATGAAAGAATAAGAAAAGAAGAAAATTGGAGAAAGATAGGACAGAAAGAGAGAGAGAGAGAGAGAGAGAGAGAGAGAGAGAAATGGGGAACGATATATATTGGGCGTATATATACGTCGCGCGTTTTTTTTTTTTTTTTATTCCCCGTTAGTATTTAAGATCACCTTTCTTATCTCGCGCTTTTCTAAACCCGCGACGACACAACAATAAATAAACGAAGACGACGAGGAACGAGACGACTACAACTTGAGGGAACCCCCAGCCGTTCGGCAGGGTGACCGAGTGGCGACTGAGACTCACCCTCTCTGCTGCCGTTGACTACCCCCTCTAGAATACCCCTACTCTTCCAGTTATCAACCACCACCACCATCCAAGACTACCCCACTACAACCATCGTTACTACCACCATTGCTATCTGTCTCTCTTTTTCTTTTTATACATATATATATATATATATATATATATATACATATATAGAATATGTTACCTTTATTTGGAACCTTAACTCACAGTTTGACTTCAACCATACTTTCAACCTTAACTCTATAACCAATATATATATATATATAAAGAATAATTATGATATAGGTTTGGTTATTTGTTTTATTTGTTGGTGGAAGGGTGTTATTACTTTTTATTATTATATAGTAAAATATATATATATATATGTGTGTATAGTTTTAGTATATTACTATATTACTATATTATTAGAATGGAGCTTTGGTTATTTATTTTATTTGTAGATAGAAGAGTATTTTATTTTAATATAATAAAATTTATATATTTAGTATTACTATATATTAGTAATTTTATTATTTTTATAATATATAATAATTTTATTGCTATATTACTATATTAGTAATACTATATTAGTAATACTATTTTAGTAATATTATATTAGTATATTTTATATTATATAGTAGTATATATAATATATTATAGTATTACTAAAATAGTAATTTTATTATTTTTATAATATATAAAAATTTTATTACACTATGTTACTATATTAGTAATACTATATATTAGTAATATTATATTAATATATTTTAAATTATATAGTAGTATATATAGTATATTATAATATTACTAAAATAGTAATTTAATTATTTTTATAATATATAATAATTTTATTGCTATACTACTATATTAGTAATACTATATTAGTAATACTATATTAGTATATTTTATATTATATAGTAGTATATATATATATATATATATAGTATATTATAGTATTACTAAAATAGTAATTTTATTATTTTTATAATATATAATAATTGTATTACTATATTACTATAATAGTATAATACAATATTAGTAATACTATATTAATAATACTATATTAGTAATGCTATAATATACCATAAATATACTAATACATAATATATAGTATTACTAAGTTAGTAATTTTATTATTTTTATAATATATAATAATTTTATTACTACATTACTATATTAGTAATACTATAATATACCATAAATACACACACACACTAATATATAATATATAGTATTACTAATAAAGTAATTACTCGTGTAATATTAGTACCTATTAATAGCATAGTATTAATATATTGCTTATTGGTTACTATTTGTTATTGATGATGTTACTGTTGCTACCATTACTACTGTTGCTGGTACTACCCCTATCATTGGTCTACCCTATATAATACTTCATTTCTAAAGTATACTAACCAATAGGCAAACTATCCAAGTGGATTAACGTAAACCACCCAACGAAGTAAATTGATTAGACAAAGAGGAATACATCGATTGAACGAATAATACTGAGATGGATCAAAATTGAGTTAAAAAAAAAAAGTAAAATAAAATAAAAAAAGATAAATTGAAAAAAGGGAAATAGATAGGGGGTGATAGTGATGATGGTGGTGGTGGTGGTGGTGGTGGTGTTTTAAGGGTTTTTCAAACTTGTCCCCGATATCTTATTTCGAGGGATTCTGGAACGACGCAGGACCGCTTTACTGCGGTAAGTCGGATGTCCTGGATCCTGAATCGCGTTGGGGTTCTTCTCTCTACGCGTATCGTAGGATACGTTAGTTCCAACGCGATGAGAAAAGAGAGGGAAAAAGAGAAAGAGAGTGAGAGAGAGAAAGAGAAAGAGAAAGAAAGAGAGAGAGAGAGAAAGAGAGAAAGAGAGAGAGAGGGATGGTCGATCGAAGGCGTCGAAGGGAGGGCGCCACCTCGCCAACTAGTATCAACCCCATTCCTCCTACCCCTACCTCTTACTATTCCCTTTACGCCCCCTCTTTACCCTTTCTCGCTCTCTCTCTCTCTCTCTCTCTATTGCTATCTTACTTGGCTCCTGCGAGTCGTTGCTTTGCTTACTTATCAAAAGAACTTCTATTAAAAGGGATTAATCGAGAGTAACTAGAAAAAAATTTATATTTATATATATATATATATATATATATATANNNNATATATATATTTGCAATTACTATTTATAAAATTAATTTATAAACATATATAGGAATACTTTTTAATATATTTAATATATAAAGTTATATATTTGCAATTACTACATATATAAAATTAATTTGTATATATATATTAAAATATATTAATATATTTATTTAATTGATAATTTGTTATATTTATAATTTATTTATTTAATTTATAATTCTTTTTTATGTTTTATAATTTATAATTTTTTGTATTTATAATTTATATATATATATATATATTAATTAATTAAATAAAATATATATTTCAAATAATTATCAATAATAAATAAATTCAAATTAATATAATATTTTTATCATTTACGAAAATTAAATTTTTCAAAATTTATTCATTATTATTTTGCTTACCACGTGACTAGATTCTTTCAATTCAATTTTAAGAATTCTTACATATGTGTTTGATAGAAAACGTTAAAAGATTAATAATACTTCGTTAAATCGAAAAAATATAATCGCTTGAATTATTACAAACAAAACAAAAAAAAAAAGAAAAGAATAAAAAAACTCAATAAATTACAATTTGTAATTGTAAAATATGTTGGATAAAAAAAGAGAGAAAAAAAAAAAAGAAAAAAAAAGAAACGTCAGCAACAGCTGATGACGTTCGTTCTTGATCATAACCGCTTACTACTATTACATTATTACTTCTACACTACTACTACCACTATTATTATTATTATTATTATTATTATTATTATTATTATTATTATTATTGTTATTATTATTATTACTAGAGCAGAGAAATAGCATCTCTTGGCATACTGCGTGCTTCGTAGATCATCGTGTCAATCCCTGAAGGTCGACACACACCACACACCACATCACACACATACACACACCACATCACACACACACACACACACACACACACACAAGGGATAGATTGTTACAGAGATGATATGAGAACATTTTCTCGATTAATACGATAAAGGATGAAGATAAGAGGTGAACGGAAGTCTATAAATAATTCAAGAGAATACCTTTCTCACACATGCACACATACACATATATACACACACAGATACCTATACATACTCTTTTTGTTTCTTATTATCTATCTGTCTGGACCAATAAAAAAAAAATACTTACTGTTCTATCTTCAGATAAACCGATTTTAAAATTGTAATCAAATTCAACGATTCTATCATCCAGAAAATATGATAAAAAAAAAAAAAAAGTTTGTCAATGCAAATCAAATGCATAAACGTTGAATCAAAGTACCATTTGTATGCATGTATATAACCAAAGTAGGTATATATATATATGTGTGTGTGTGAGTGTAGGTTACGTTCTGTTTGGACTTTGAAAACTTCTACATTTAAATGGACAGTCGAGATATACTACGATTTGCAGAGAACTCTATGACTGCTAAGTGTCTCTCTTTCTCTCTCTCACTCACTCACTCACTCACTCTCACATTCTCTCTCACACATTATCTCACTCACTCACTCTCTTGGAAAATAAGAGACAGAGATAGATAGACACTTATTTGAAATGGAGATGGGGCATTTACGTTGCTGTCCGTTTACAACGCGATATCACGCGTATTTCTAACACTCAAACACACATACATACATACACACATACAGACATTCATAGACATATATACATGTATATACATCTATATATTTTGATATATATATATATACATATATATGTATATATTAAATGTATCTGTATCTATAGGGGTAACACGTAGAAACAGACACACACACACACACAATTTGTATATATATATATATATATATATATATTATATGTTATATATGTATAGACTAAAGTATTAACTAGGTATACCTGCAATTTGCAAGTTCTACCTTATTCGACACGGTCACGGGCGAAGCCCCTGGAAAGCAGGAAATCCTGCAATTAGGTATAACGGACAATATCCGGATTTTTCAATATCCGGCCATCCTAACGCCACCACTACACAACCACCACCACCACCACCACCACCACCATCATCATCATCATCATCACAACCATCACCACCACTATTTGCCATCTACCACCTCTTAACATTTAACTATCCTCTGTGAAAATACTTTACTATAATGTATTTAAATTGACAAAGATGTGTATAATACGTTTTTATCATATTATACTTCTTTTTTTTTTTTACGTGTCTAATATTATTTTCTAGAATTTTATTGATTACATAAATATTTATAATAATAATAATAATAATAATAATAATAATAATAATAATAAT